CCAGGAGCTTGAGGCTACCGTGAGCTATGATGATGCCACTGCATTCTAGCCTGGGCGACAGAGCCAAACCCTGTCTCAAAAATAAATAAATATACCAAAGGAAGAATATCTGGGAGGTGAGATTGTAGGAGTTTGTAGTTTGTAGGTTTTTTTACATTTTTTTAAATTGACAAATAATTGTATATATTGATGGGGTACAATATGATGTTTCAATACGTGTATATAATATGGAATGGTCAAATCAGCCTAATTAGCATAACCATCACCTCAAATATCATTTCTTCACGGTGAGAACTTTAAAATCCTCTCTTTCAGCTATTTTGAAATATACATTATTTTGAACTACACTTTGCTGTGTAATAGAACACCAGAACATATTCCTCCTATCTAAGTGTAACTTTGTACCCAGTAATCAAGGTCTCCCCTTTCCCTGTCCACTCCCCACCCCAGCCTGTGGTAATCACTTTTCCACTCTCTACTTCTGTGAGTTCGACTTTTTTATATTGCACATGTAAGTGAGATCATGCGGTATTTGTCTCTCTGTGTCTGGCTTATTTCACTTAACATGATGTCCTCTAGGTTCATCCATGTTGTAAATGACAGAATTTCCTGTTTTTTTAAGGCTGAATAGTATCCCATTGTGTTTATAAAATACATATTACATTTTTTAAATCTCTTCATCTATTGATGGACACTTAGGCTGGCTATCGTGAATAATGCTACAGTGAACACGGGAGTGCAGACGTCTCTTTGGCATACTGATTTCAATTCTTTTGGGTATCTACTCAGTAATGGGATTACTGGATCACATGATAATGCTATTTTTAATTGTTTGAGAAATCCCCATACTGCTTTCCAAAATGCCTGCACTAATTTACAATACCACCAAGAGGATATGAGGGTTCCCCTTCTCCAGATGCTCAGCAACGTTTGTTATAATTCATGTCTTTGATGATAGACAATCTAACAAGTGTGAGGTACTATTTCATTTGGGTATTTTTTTGAAGCTGGCTCTACTCTGTTGATATAATATATCTTATTTGGTTTTGATTTGCATTTCTATGACGATTAGAAATATTGAGCATTTTTTTCATATATCTGTTGTCCATTTGTATGTCTTCTTTTAAGAAATGTCTATTCAATTCCTTTGCCCATTTTTAAATAGGGTTGTTTTCGTATTATTGAGAGTTTGAGTTTCTCGTATATTTTGGATATTAGCCCTTTATCCAATGTATGATTTGCAAATATTTTCTCCCAATCTGAGGGTTGTCTCTTTACTCTGTTGTTTCCTTTGCTGTGCAGAAGCTTTTTAGTTTATTGCAATCCCATTTGTCTATTTTTGCTTTTATTGCCTGTGCTTTTGGTGCCATATCCAAGAAATCTCTGCCCAAATCTGCGTCATAGAGTTTTTCTCCACATTTTCTTCTAGTAGTTTTATAGTTTCAGGTCTTACATTTAAGCGTTTAATCCACATTGAGTTGATTTTTGTATATGGGCTGAGATAAGGGTCCATTTTCATTCTTCTATATGTGGATATCCAGTTTTCTCAACATCATTTATGGAAGAGACTGTCCTTTCCCTGTTGTGTGTTCTTCGCACCTTGTTGAAAATCAATTGCCTGTAGATGTTTGGGTTTATTACTGGCCTCTCTATCCTATTCATTCCATTGGCTGATGTGTCTGTTTTTATACTAGTACCGTGCTATTTTGATTACTGTAACTTTGTAATATTAAATTTTTTATGCTTTCAAATACTTTTCGAATTTTCTATATCGAGTATATCTTTTATAATAAAGGGAAATATAAACTATTTAAACTAACAAAATATGGCCTATGGTCTGGTCAGGTCCATTTTATCACTATTCCAGAATAAGTACTCAATGCATGTTCATTTCAACGTCATGCCTTTTCTCATGCCTCTCTTCTCACTTTAACCTCTGATAATCCTTCAAACCTCAGCTCAAAGGCCACCTCTTCCATGCAGCCTTTCCAAAGTACCCCCTTCCTTACTGATCTCCCTGCCTACACCAGATTTTGCACTTAATTAGGTATACTGTGCTGCATTTATTCATTCTAATTCATTAACATTTTCTGTTTGCTGGTATGTGTATGTGAGAGTGTTGTATGTGTATGTGTGAGAGAGAGAGAGAGAGAATGTATATGTGTGTGTTTGGTATGAATTAATTTTCTCTCCTCAGCAGATACTATGTCCTAGCTTGCCCGTGTCTTGGCCTGCTATCTGTATCACAGACTGGTGCCAGAGTAAATACTCAATAAATACTTGGTGATGGTAGTAGGTGTTGAAGCTACTAGGTCTTGAAACTTTTCAGGGGTCTGAAAATTCATGGGGCTCCTTCCATCATACCAGGCTCTGTAGCAATACTTGAGCTTACGTTTATTGAGCACTTATCAAGTCCCATGCGCTTGCCATTTATTTTTTCACTTATAGAGTAAGAACTGCTTTCATTTTCAAGATTGAGGAAACTGAAACTTAGGAAGGTTAAGTCACTTGCCTGAAGTGACAAAGCTTAAAGTGGTAAGGCAGGGATTAAAACAGCCCAGGCTCTTTATCCCCACTGTGCTACACTGCCTCGCCAGGCCACATGACAAATGAAACATAATTTCCTTTGACCCATATGCCACAAATGTGCATTCAGTCAAATTGCAAATTGGTCAAGTTAAATGGAGTTGTTTCCTTATTATTGAGCAGTTTGACCTTGCGGAATCTCAGTTTCCTCATTTGTAAAAGGGCGACGATATTACCTTGCCAGGGTGGCTGTAAATGTCAAGGTATGAATATTGTGTCAGGTGGTGCCTAGTATACAGTGGGCATCGCATAAGTGGTAGCTGTTAGTATTAGCTATGCTACCTTCTTGGTACCTGCAACTTGAAATTGGGGTGTGGCAGCTCCGTCTCATTCCTTTTTTCACAGTGAGTGGCTCCGCGTCTCCAAGCTGGGGTCCCAGCTCTGCTGGGTGGTGAAGGTGCTATTAGAAAGCCTGGACCAGGAGCAAACAAATAAGCAGCCCTGCCCCAGGTTAACTAAAGCGCGGATTTCCTTGTCTGAATGCAGAATGATAGGAAGAAGCTTGTGTTACAAAAGTAGCTGTTTTTGTTTGTCACCCAGGCCCACTAATCTAAACATCTCACTCCTCAGGAATTATTTTAGGACCAGGAAGCAGCACGCTATTTATTGAAAGAGTCACAGAAGAGGATGAAGGCGTCTATCACTGCAAAGCCACCAACCAGAAGGGCTCTGTGGAAAGTTCAGCATACCTCACTGTTCAAGGTAAACAGCTGCTTAAGAAAGCAACAAGAAACTGGTCAGACATGTATTTCCCTGTTTGTTTAACTTTCCACCTCCCAGTCTCCTACTGCCCACTCCAGTCTGTTCCTTTCCCTGACCCCCTCCCCCCTCCCCTCCCGCTCTGGGAAGGGACTGTCTGGTGCTGTCTGGCGAGGCAGAAGGTGAAGACACTGGCCGGCCATGCTTGAGAGCCCACAATCTGAACACAGTCTCTGTAGGGGAAATAGTTCCAGAAGAACTACTCAGCTGCTGACAGTGTGATTATACTGACCCACAGAAAATGGCCAGAGTGCCCATACCTGTGAGAGATACCTCTGAGAAGGAAGAAAAAAGGTTGGGAGGAGGGGACCCACACACTTGAAATTGCTTTCCTTTTCTAACTTGCCTTCCTTTTCTAATTCCCAGAAGTTAGACAGATGCTGCTATTCCAAATGTTTTCATAAGCAGGTTTTTAAAATGAAGTAGGCTGTAAAATATTATCAGAGAGAAGCAACACATCATAAACACAGCACATTTAAGAAAAATATTCCAAGTGCTTCCTCTTTATAGACCTCAGATAGTTTGCAGAGCAACAAAATACAAAGAGGCCTCCTCCTACCCTGGCTGTGGCCATGTGGCTTCCACTTAGAAAATAGTTTAGACTTCAGTTTCAAATTTACAATGCTAAAAATCATCCAAAACAAAAAATTTTCAGCATTGTAAAATATCAAATTGGCACCTCTTAGATGTAAGTATCTATGGCACAGTGAGGTTTTTTACATAGAAGGAACATGTTCAGCAGCCTGTTTCCACATGCTGCCCAGCAGACTGCGGAACATGTAAGGGTGTCTCGGGAGGAACTGGGAGGAAGGCAATGTACTTCATTTCTTTTGCCCTGGAAATTTACATTGTTTAAAGAGTGTAACTGTGAAATTCAGACTCCTTTAAAACAGAATATTATCTCCATTCTTTTACAAGGATATGATTTTAGAGTTTCCTGAAAATCTGAAACTACCACAAATTTATACTTTCAGAAAAAGTGAGAGATAGCATTCCCCAAATAGCTTTAGTAATGTTCCTGTTTGTCTCCCAAATGATTCTTGTTTTAAAATACTTTTGACCCTTCTGCTCACACATGGGGAAGACAGCTTAAAGTGTGTTTCTCTTTAACACCTCCTTCCTCAAATCTGTCTTATACCAAGGACTCCGGCGTGGCCCACAGGAGTGGCGGCATGAGGTCAGGGAGAGCAGAGAGCAAGGAGGGCTCCCTAAGCCTCAGAGCAGATGGTGGTGTCCCCCATATCCTCCCAACAACCCCGTAAGATACACAGAGCAGTTGTTATAGACCGCCACGAGGTCTGAAATGACTAACCCAAATCATACAATCAGGTGATGGCAACCCGAGATGAAAACCAGACCTCGCCCCCCTGCATGGCTGCCTTGCTTGCCAAGTACCTGTTCCTCTCTTCTCTACCAGGGAATGTGGGGGGACATCTGATGGCTTGGGAAAAGCCCTGGCATGAAGCAGAGACATTTGTGCAGGTTCGTAGGTCTTCCCAAAGACTTTACTTCCTTTCCCTTCCCCTTTTCTGCCAGGCTGATCTGAGTTTCTCAGATGCCACTTTGCTTAAAATTGTGCTTTACAACAGCTGGTCTGTAAGTTTCTTCTGCCCACCAGTCAAGACCACCACCCTTCTGTTTGCCATAAATATATCTGCTCTCCAGGAGGCCTGTTCTTATTCTCTCACTGCCAAAGCCAGATCAGCAGCACTGTGGGCCTCCCAGATTGGATGAGAGCCAGTACTTTGGTCACCACAAAATGCCAAGCCTGGCCTTTGTTAGTGATGCTAATGCATTCTGGAATGTCCTTTGTCCAGGCTCCATTCCCCACTCTAGCCCTCCAGCCAAACTCCTCATCCCCTAAGGCCAGTTTACATGCTTTCTACCCTGTGATAGCCTCCAGGATGAACAGCTGAGTCAGATATTCTGCTCTCTCACTCCATGGTTCTAGGATCATTAGTCAGTACTTATTTTATTCTGCATTTTATTATTATTTTGGCATTGATATGCTTCTCTTCCTACCAATTTGTAAACCTTTTGAGGCAGGAACTCTCTGACATATCTTTGTATCCATGCCCATGCCCAGCACTTAGCAGGATACATACTTAGTTAGTACCTATGCACAGGCACTGCGCTAGACACTTGGCATACTTAATCCTGTTAACCTTGTAAGAATCCAGAGAAATAAATAGAAGCATCCTCAATTTACAGAGAGGAAGATGGAGACTCAAAGAGGTTAAGTAACTTGCCCAAAGTCACACAATAAACACGTGGTGAGGCTGAGACTCGAGTCCGTATCTGTGTAAATCTCAAAATATTTCCGCCCTTCCTCTGCTCTTCTCATTACTGAGGTGCCTGAGACAGTTGTCTGCAAGAGCTTAGTAGAAAGCTGAGCAAAAGCACTCTTTCTGTTATCCTATTATTTTGGTTTTTTCTCTACGTACCTCTAGATTTCCTGCACCGATTCCTTTTCCCACTAACATTATGCTTTTCTGAAAAGTCAGACGTTAAGAATACTGCATGCATTACTGATAATTTCTAAAAGTTTCTATCAACCTATGCCATTTCCTCTCGAGGAAGCAGAGATAGTCTTTACTTGCGTTGTCCTTACCGGCTGTCACTGCACACGTCCTGACCCTTATCGTCTCTTGACCTGCAAACCAGCCTCCCCTCACCCTCCTCCAGTCTAACCCCCTGGATCTACCGTGATCTTTTCCACAACTCATCTTATGACCTGTTACTTCATGGTTTAAAATCTCATGTGGTTCCTGGCAGCCTGTTACCTCCTCCAGGCGCACAGGTCCTCGCAGGCTCCTTCTCCAGCCTCCTCTTATATCCCTGCCCGCGTGCCCCCCAGCTGCAGCTAAGCAACGTGGGAGTCCCTGCACACACTCCGGCTCCTCCCAGCCTCTCTGCTTCACTCGTCTTCTTCCTCATGTCTGCAAAGCCTTCCTTCCCAACTTGTCCTCCACCTGAGCAATCCTACCCCTCTTGCTTTTGCTCTTGCATCACTTTCTCCATACCTGACCTCCTGTCTCACCATCATTTTCCCTCTGCACTCCTGTAACACTTCATATGTACCTTTAATGCAACGCTTACCATTGTTTATTACTCATTTTCCTATTCCAGAGTGCTTGATAAATGTTTGTTGGATTAGTCTATTTGGAAAACCACCACTTAAAGTCAGAAAAAAGAAATACATCAATACATTGTTTAGGGCAATAGAGACAAGCCACATTCCACAAGTCGTTAACAACTTATTTGTTTTCCCAGGACTATGCAGGATATGGAAGTGTTAGCCACGATCCCTGCCCTCAGTGTGCTTTGAAAATCTAGTTGAAGAAAGATTAAGGTGCACATTAACCAGATCACCAAACATTTTGAACTCCTCCTAAGGGTAAAGTAGAAGTACTAGTTTGTATAATACAGACTACACAACGCTACTAGCAAGGGCTCAAGGAGCTCACACAGGCAAAAAAGAGGCACATGACTTGACCTCTAGGAGGGACCTCGTAGGGTGTTGCACTGGCCAGGTGTGCAAGGCAGCAAGTTATGCGGTAACTGTGGACCCTCTGCCTGGATACTCCCCTTGGCAACAACAGAGTCTAAGTAATTCTAAATAGTTCCTATTGGCCAGCCCATTGAATTTTCTGAGGAATTGGTACTTATGACTCATGCATGGCCTCTTTTCCTTCATGTGGCATTAATCTTCAGTATCACTGAGAGAAATGGTACAGTTTGCAAGGCAGCTGTAGACACTGTACACATACATATATAGACACATGTGTGTGTGTGTGTGTATCCTTCTTTATACCCCTATTGCTCCTAACTGCCATGCTTTCTGAGTTCTTGTTTCTGCTTTTTATAGCTTCTTGGCCTTCTCCCTTGCTCTGTTTTATAAATTTTTTTCCTGCTCTCAGAGTGATGGCTGTATCAAACCTCTTTGCTCAAAAATTGTAATTAGCTGAGAAAACAGATTACATAATCTGCAATCATCAAATTACACCTGGAATATTGTGCCCATTTATAAGAGAAATATAAATAAACACAGCCATATCCTGGATAGGGTAACGATAGAATAGTGCCAGAAAATTAGGATATTTAGTCTAAAAAAGAGATGACTTGGGAGTGACATGATTGTTTTCTTCAAATACTTAAGGAGCTTTCTGAGACAGGAAGCATTTAACTCAATCTTTGACGCACCAGAAAAGATAACTAGAACCAAGGAAGGGAGATGGTGGTGAAGTGTCCAGGAGGCAGGTGTCAGCCCCATATAAGGATATAACTTTGAATAGAAAGGATTTTTGAAAGCCCACATGTAGGAGTCAGGGGCAGTATCTTGGGTTGAAGGACTTCGGGCTCATTGAATCACACTTTGATCCCTGGGTGCTATTCACAAGAGGTGAATACGGTACCTGCTCAGTAATTTTGTAGTTGAAATTGGATTCTTGCTCTAGAGTCACTGTGCTCATCCCCTTGGTGGCTATGAAATATTCCCTAGAGTTAGACTTGATTTCCTGTTAGATGCATATGCACCCTTCACACTGACCTATCTTGTCAAATTAAGTTTAGAAAATGAAACCAAGCAAACGAGTTGTGTCTATGACTATGTTTAACAGATTTGAAGAGGTTTATGAATTAGCCAGGAAGGAAACTGTCTGCTCTTTTTATTTCCTTTGAAAAAGGATTCTTATACTCATAGATAAAACAATGTGTTATTTTTGTATCTAAAAAGGATGAATGGACTGTGGAGTCAAAGTAGCTTCTTTAAATAATCACAGGTCTTGTTTGGTTTGGACCAAGCACCAGCATAAGCACACGTGGAGCTCTCAGAGGGGAAGTTCCAATATCAAAACCAACAACAAAACTGTGAGCAACCAAAGTCATTTCTGAAATTAACACAACACTCAATAGCCCATGGGACCAACAGGACTGTTACAATG